TAATAATACATACATAGAGGAAAGTTTGAACGAGAACGTTAATTATTTAAAAAAAACAAGAAAAATGTCGTTAATGTACAAAGTCACATGTGATTTTACATTAAATGGAAGCTTGCGACTTTTGAGGCCACTTAAGTCGCAGGCTAAAGTCGTCTGGATCATGTATGAGTTGTATATGAATCATATATAATTTATTTTTAATAATGCAATTATATGATAAATTAATTRAAGAATTTTAAAGGTATTCACTCATTTCTTAAGGTGCAACATGATTGCAACCGTTGATGTTCATAATTCTGGACATACAAGACGTTTACGTTTCTCTCTCCACTAAGTAATTGTTTTGCTTTATGAGATTAGTTATGTATAATATAAATATCTTTTGGGCTTTCTTTAGTTTACTTGCTTTATATGTGTTAAAACAATATATTATAGATTGATTTTTTATGATATTCTTGATAGTTCTTTTTCTTATGCCAGAACTTTTATAAGTTATCTTTTGGTTGCGTAAGTGTTCATTGCTCAATTTATTGTCAATCCAAATAGCCCTACAGATTCTTTTTTACAACAAAGCAAGAAAATGAAAAATTGAAGTTAGATTCATGCAATGCCTTAGGATTGACTCATCGTATATTTTAAGTTTTCCAATAGGGTTCTTTTTTGCTTCTTTCAATTGATTTTCTTACATCAATGTAAGTTGAAATATTTGAAGGAGACATATHTWTATGTGAAATWTTTTTTATTCTTGAGTGTGTCAAATTCCTTGATATTCCCGTGTTATTATTACTTATTTTATTTAGTTTTACAACTTTATTCCTAAACAAATCTCTCTCTCAATGTATATATATATATATATATATATTAAAATTTCACTAATTATATTTTATTTAACTTTTTAGAATTATTTAAATACTATTTGTTGATAATTCTATTAACAACTAATACATATTTATTTAGACAATCTTCAGATTATTAATCAAAGTACTCATGCTACCGTGCAACGCACGGTTCCCATACTAGTTGTAATAAATTAATAATAATGTTTACAAGATACGCAAACCTTATTATTATAATTTCTAAACATTCAAAATCCTATTTTTTTTACGGGCTATGCTAATTCCTTACAAGAAAAAGTTGTGTTTGCTTTTAGTGTGATCGATGTTTAAAAAATATCTTCCACCTTAAGTTTCGAATTTTTTATAGAATGCAAGTTTGGTAAATTCATTTATCATTTCCTTAAATAATGACATTTGATCCCACATAAACGACTTTCGCAATTTCGAACGACAAAATCATATTAAAACATGGTCTCTTCATGGCTTTTAGCACTCTTTTGACAAAATCATATTAAAACATGGTCCCTTCATCGCTTTTAGCACTCTTTTAAGTGATCAAATTACACGGTATTTAAATACGAAACATCTTATATTTATTTTGATAGACAATCGACTCCATTTGTGTTATATGTTAGATTTAGAGTCGAGGCACACAAAAAAACGATGGACATATCTTTAAATATTTTGCAATTTTTTCTTACATTAATTCTACTATTGATGACTATAGATTACTGTTTTGACATTGTTTCAAACTATTTTTCCGACCGTACATTAAACCCAAGCTCTTACCGCATAGTTGAACTACCTCGAGGGTTTTTGCACTTGACTGTTGCCAAGTATCGAGAAAAATCAACTTATTGTTATTATGTTATTGTTGAAGTTTCTAGCAACCGAAAAATGATTTCATGAGTAAACCTTTAAACCACACAAATTATACAAACTCCAACCACCTGAGTCTTCCTGTACACAGACTTCCATCTTCTTGCAAACATAGCTTTCAGGCATGTTAAACTAGTCACCAGCAGCATTAGATGAACCATCCTGACTAGTTCCCTTGACAAATTGTCCTCTGACACGTGGCCTTTGTTCTGCCAGTTTCTTTCGGTTTTGATATCGCACCTGCCAAAGAAAAGAAGAGAAATTTGCAGAGAGATTTGAAACAGAAGCAAGACTACTGTTTGCAAATGAGGAGATGAAATGTGTCGTATGCTTCTCAACTATTTACTAATCTGTTTGACTGGAGATCTTCTGTGTATGGTACATGCACCTTCCATGTTCTCAGATTTCCAGTGACCTTAAGAACAAACAGTCTAATGCTGCCATATCACTTGAAACATTGCTATTTGCTAGGTCTTAATATATAAAGATTGGTAAATCTATGAAAAATGTAGTAAAAGGAAGAGTTCAAAGATTCTAGTCAAGTTGTGCTTCTACTAACGGGGTGTTTGGGATTTCTACAAAAACACTTATCAACTTATTATAACTCAGAAGAGTTTAACTTCTCCTTATTACCGGTTTGGCACCGGTATAAATTGTTTATCCAAACACTCAAAAGTGCTTATTACCGGTAACACACCGAAATAAGTCAATAAGTTGTTTTTATAAGCAATCCCAAACACCCCTAAATGATGTGATATAATTTATGAAGTAAATAGTACCATATTAGACTCAACTCCCCCCCCCCCCCCCCCAAAAAAAAATAATATCATATCCACCGTAGAAAAACACACAAACTAAAAATTGTATATTTATCACTTTTTAATAAACTGAATAACAATTTTTCCTTTAATAAATGTCCCAACAAAGTCTTCATAGAATTTTCTAGAATTTCTCCCTCTCATCAATTCTTAAATATTTGTTCATCATAATTAAGGGTACAATTGGAAATTTAGTAAATTATAACTAGCTATTCTTGAAAATGGACACTTACTTTGAGACAAACTTGAATAAAAATATGGACACTTAGTTTGGGAGAGAGTGTAGAACAATTTCCTTATTTGGATGTCCAAATACAAATGCAACATTTCTTGTTTTCGGCAAAGTTTCAGTTCAAAGTTACAACTTTGCTCATTAGTAAATCATTTTCTTGAAAATATGTACTTAGTCAAATGCTGGATTAATTTTTGGACGGGTGCATAAAAGGAAAAAGGTAAATCATTAGAAATTTTGGGAAAATAAGACAATAAGCGAGTAATTTCGCCTACCATCATCAATAAAAAAAAATTAGTAAACCTAAACATAGCATAGGATTGTAGCATCTTAACAGGGGAAATGCAAGTTACCTTCTTTTGGAAGCATCGAACTTCTCTCTTTTGGCGGAACTTAGTCAAGGCTGCTTCTCTGTGTGCAGATTTGTGTTGATCTATTCTATTTCTGGTACCACTCCCATTCCCACTCCCACTAGCATCACCACTTCCACTTTTCCTGGCTAAACCAACATCACTTTCTACATTTGTGGCTTCAAAATTCACAGCAGTGTTACTCCCGATCTGCACATTGCTTCCATGCTTGCTGCCTGAGGCGCTTCTGTTCAAACTATAAGTTTCAAGGTTACCTTCAACAGGCCCACCCATGATATTTGATGACCCACAATGTGGAGCATCTGCACCCAACTTGTTTAAACCAAAATCACCATGATTGGACAATGGCTCCTCTTCATCTATGTTATGATAATGATGAACATGGTGATGGTGATGAATGTGTTGAATACGGTGCTCTTGGTGCAACACACCAGCATCAGCCTTCCTTGGTATGACTTGCTGAAAGTAGTATCAAAGATCAGTTGTAAGTTTCAAAGTAAGATCTAAGATCTAGTTTCTGACATTTTTTTGGATTGAAGGGTTGGTATGGTATTTGTTTGTTGAAAAACACAAATTTGTCATCACCAACCTCACTCGAGCCTTGATAAATAAGATATCCATCTGAATGTGCATCATGCTTGGATTCTTTCTTCACAGTGTTTGATCTATTATCAGGTTGAGAACGGCTAGCAGTGATTCCAGGGGCATCCTTTACAGCATTTGAGGTTATTTTGTACCTGCAGGGTATTTGACAGCTTATTAGTCTTCTAAGCATTATAATCATTAAATTGATCTTAGAAAGCCAAAGGAATCATTTCCTGCCCCTTTGTTTGATTCAGACCTTGTGAAGGCTGAAAGCTCTGAATGTCTCAATATATTGCAGCCATTCTGAACTTCTCTCCCATCATGTTTAGTTGCCCGGGGCCTCTTCAAGCCAGGCTCACCCACTATTACTCCATTAGAATCATCAACAACCTTGGTATTTGCATCCATAATCTTTTCAGGTTCTCCTTGACCCTCAAGTTCCCCATTTTCCATGTAAGATTCAGGCATTTTGCTATCATCAGCTTTGTGTTTGGTCAATGTGTGCTCCCGTCTGATATCTGAAATCCCCATGCCCTTACTTTTAACATTCAATGTGGGGTCAAATACTTGATGAGTGTTCTGTTTTATACCGTTATGTTTTATAGGAACCTCAATTGTAGACTGAATTTGCATTTCTGCAATCTCTTTGGCCTTCCCATCATTATCTGAAAACAAGACATTTTGTAATGGAAATAAACGAAATAAGTAAAAGAAATGTTTCAAACGAGTTATTTTGGTGATTTAGCTTCAACTGTATCTGAATATCCATACAGGGTCGTCCTTCTTGATCATTAATGTCTCTTGTTGCTTGAGTTTGTACAGGACGGATAACGAGGCCACAAGTGCTGTCTGGATGCTCAGCTATTTGGTCACATGGAGATGCTGCTTCTGGGCTCTCAGGTTCAACAGCTTGTTTGGTCCAAGAACTCTGCATGTAATGGCGAAATCAGTCTAACTGTATAATAAGATAGACAATAAACTATTTTATATCCTGTACTCAAATTTAAAATGTGAATGAAGCCAGCTAGTGGTGCAGTTAAACCTGTTTCCCATATTTGAGAGGTTACATTCTGAAATCTGTAGTATACAATCAAACTAATCAGCAGGTGATTTCAGATATGAGAATATCTGCTGATTGATTGGAGTGTACCAATAGCCAACGAACTCACAATTACCAGGCGCTAAGAAAGTGATTGAATCTGGTTCAGAGAAAGTATGGTAAGGCTTTAGCCAAGAAACCCCTCAGACCTCTTTGAACAGACCATTTCTCAGTGAAATGACTGCAGCAAGCCTTGGCACGAGATTTTTTTTGGGGGAGGGGGAGTCACTCACTTATCTTAGCAATTATTACTCTAATACCAAAAATATTATATGTATATCCTCACCAGAGAATATGAGCAGAAAAAAAACATGCACCTAAGGAGAGTTTTTGCAGCTGGAGTCAGCCAAGGAGAGTGCCTGCACCGAGCTATTCACATACTCGCATACATCAGCTTGACAAAGACTAATTGCTTCTGGTAACCAAAATATTTTTTAACTTGTTCATTTTTAGGAACCCCCCCTCCCCCTCTCTCTCCTCATTTTGCTCCTGTTTAGTCCCAAATTACAAGTACATCCCTAATAATAGCTCAGGTAACTTCAAAATGTATCCTAGACTATTTGTAACCTATGGGTTTTGTTCCTTGACCTTTTCTTTCACTATGACAGTCCCAAAATAGAGAATTCTTCCCAATTGCTTGACTCCCTTTGTCACTCAAAGCCCTAAGGTCGTTAATCAAGGGTACTTGAAAAAAAAAAACACAACCACTTTAATTAATACATCAAAAGAAAAAAAAATGGTCATGTCCCCCTGTGCATTCTTCCCCACCCATCGCCAGCTCCAACCCCAGCGGCCAGCGCCATGATATTAACACAACTTAATTCACAGGAGTTGTTTCATGAATTACCCATTATATAGCTCATAGGAACTTGGACGACATTCACCCTGAAGGTTGCTTTACCTAAAGAATATTCAGCAGGTTTAAGACCAATTTCAAGGACCAGCAGATTATTATCAAAATCTCTCAAGCCCCCAACTAGGAACTTCTTTGCATTGTTCTCAGTTTCCAAAGAAAACAAAATCATCTACCCACAAATTTGCATCTAACAGGTCTTTTTGTTCTCCGACCTCTCTGCATTGCACCACACCATCATGCATCCACCGTCCATTTGATTGTCGTCTTCGCTGTCCTTCTTGAGCTCAATCTTCACAATTTCAATATTTGTGCATTCAAGATTGTTAGATTAGGCCTCTATGTTCTTCTCCATTGCAGAAATAAGAAGATCCAATAAGGTATTCAGAGAAATGCTCTGAGAATTACCCCTAACTGAAGCCTGCTCAAAATCTTGAATCTGACATAGATACAACTGCAACATTGACAAACTAGGCAGATGAAACAGCCAATGACGGAGGAGAACCCCCTCTTCTGATTTCTTTTCTTAATTATGTTTTGACAATTTGGGTTCTAAAAATAAAAAATAAAAGAAAAATAAAGTTGTTTATTACTCATCTTACCATTTGGTTAATGCCCTTTGACTAATGGAAATGGAAGGAGGGACACTCTCTTCATTCTATGGACTACCAGCATTTAAAAAGTTCAAGCAATTAAACCTGCAGGATGGGGACTAGTCCAGGAAAAATTTATATAATACACACTTCACCCTAAGCCTAACTATTTTAGTTGTTGGGAAATCACCGGTTTTCTCTCTACATATACCCCCTCCTCCAATGTCACAAATAAGTCATGAAGCATCAAGAACTCGTGCCTAATAAGACATTATATATATATATATATATATATATATATATATATATATATATATATAGCCTTCTATTTACCTAAAATCTTCAAGTGGACACTGAGACATTAAATTCAAGGTGGAAACTTTTATACAAAGACTTCCATTTGAAAATCATTTGCGAGGTAATAGGAAAGTTATGCATTCATAATTCCTCATATTGATGTGCTCATTTGTGTCATCATAGAAGTATTGTCAACATATTAATTAACATATAGAAGAACAGATGTGGAAGCCAAAAATTCCAAGCGGAAAACAATCTTCTTTCAACAAACACACACATATACATACCCCTCCCCCCAACACACACATATTGAGGCATTAAATTTAAGACGGAAATTTTTATACAAATATTTCCATTTGAGAATCATTTGCGAGTGAATAGGAAAGTTTTGCATTCATGTATCCTCAAAATGATGTGCTCATAACCACAAGGGTGGTGCCTGTTTGGTTTGAGCTTGGCTACAAAGGTCAAAAGTATCAGGAGGTCCTAGGTTCAAATCCAAAGAGAAATAAAAATCCCCTTGTGGCCACGGAGGTTCAAATGCGGTGACTCCGGGCTATCTGCAAAGCAGGTGATCGCCCTTGGATTAGTCGGCTCGCATAGCGGGTTGGATATCCAGGTTAATCAAAAAAAAATATGATGTGCTCACTTGTGTCATCATAGAAGTATTGTCAATGTATTAATTAACATATAGATGAACATATGCGGAAGCCAAAAATTGCAAGAGGAAGACAATCAACACATGCACATACACCCACACACGCACATATATAAAGGGGCATTATCAAATGAGAACCTCAACAACATTGAGAACCAGTGAAACATGTATTGTTTAACAATGTGAAACACGTATTGTTTCACAATGTGAAACATATAGTGTTCTTTCATGTTGTGAAACAAGGATACATGTCCATGAGTTTCACATGGTGAAACAATACCTTAAATCCTAGCCTTAGATGAAAAACATACACGTGAACCAATACGTTGAGATTGATTCTCAAAGGTCCTTTATTGATTTGTCCCCATAATCAAATGAGAACCTAAAAGATGTTGGGAACCATGAGAACTAATGAAACATGTATTATTTCGCAACGTGAAACAAATACCTGAGTGCCACTACCATCATCACTACCACCACTGGTGCTCCCATTTTCATCCCCATCTTTGTTGCCGCTGTCATCGTACCTTAAATTGCTTTTTGAGTTTACAGATTTTTGGGCCTGTGTGCCACTTTCACTCCCGCTACCACTAGACTGATAGAAGCAGAAAATTTATTTTCCAATAAATGGGATTTAATAATGAGAACATAATGCAACATAAATGCAGGAGCAGAAAAGCTTGTATATCTAGAAAATCAATAAATTAAATAGAATGAATATATGACTTACACTGTGACACCTCCTCCAGACATGCTGCCAAAGGTTTTTAAGCTCATTTTTCCGAACTGGCTTCACTAGAAAATCTACTGCACCTTTTGATAAACACTTAAAAACCAAACCCATTGAATCATGAGAAGACATCACTGCACACAATCTCATCAGGCATTGTGATTAATACCATAAATTTGGTAAGGTTTTGCAAGGCAGCCACATTTCTGCTAAATTTGTTTATCATAAGGATAATCTAAGGTACTTACTAATCACAGGGATATTCTTGCGTGTCTTGTGGCACATAATCTTGCATAAAAGACTAATTCCTGAAAGACAAGGCATGACTACTTCAGTTAACACGATGTCAATGTGATTGGATAGATTTTCCAAAATCTTCCAGGCTTGAAATCCGTTAGCTGCTTCAATAACTGCCAGAAAAGAAAGACAAAAAAAAATAAAGCAAGTGTTAGATGGTGAATTCTAGAAGGATGCTAATTATACAGAAATAATGGTTAAAATTGTGAATGTTTGAAGAGATTCAACTAAAAGAAGCACTTAGCAAGTGAAGACTTATGCAGCTGTATTTGATGGGAGTAGATTATTTCGAAAGGTGAAAGAAATATTTGATAAAAACAAGACTCAGCATCACATTTAGAAAGTATAGTTACTATATAAAGTAACGGCACAAACATCAGCAGAACTGATACATGGCTAAATGAAAATCTATAAATGTAGCTAAGAGCTGTTAATCATTGTTTGACTGTGATGGCCATCACAAACACACGAAACCTGAATACCTGATACATACCAATGTGTTTGTATATACCATCTATTCACCAAAAAAAATGTTTGTATAGGTAACTGGCTTCTACTACAAGAAGTCATTTTCAATTTAGGAATTTATTCTGCAATAATTCCTAAAGTAGGTTATTATTGATATATATTATCTTTTGCTTTGCTCAATGACACCTACATCATGCACATAGATGATAACACAACAGATTGTGGCTTTGTAAAACCTCTTGGTGTTCATAAATAAGTAACAAGAAATTTCCAGTTGGTCATAACTTGTTTACTATTTTGATTCTGATGTAAGGGAAACATAAAAAGGTAAAGCAGTCAACGCCTCCCATTTCCATAACCAGTCCAACCTACAGCACCATTAAGACCTTTGCACCTAGTGGTTTTTATAGTAACCGCCTCAGAAGGGGAAGACGAAGCAGGTAGAGAAATCAATTTTTTGAAATCAGAGTCATATTCAACTTCCATATCTCAAGACGGTCATCTACCCAGATCATAGCTGATTTCTGTTGAAAGAATTGCTTCAAGAAGGCATCAAAAGTTTCGAATTCATTCTGTATGCTAATCATCATTATTAGTTGGATGCTGTGAAGTTGATTCACAGCCGTTGGATGCAGGGGCTTAAAATTGCGGTCTATCTGGGTAGGTCTCAGATAATGAGAGTTTATTAAGAAAAATCAGTCATTGGATAAGCAAAGGTCAAAATTGTGCCTATGTCCAATAGAACTGTTCAATTGGAGATCAGAGAATTCCCCTATAAATATTGTACCTTAATGCATATTTCTTCAATTTTTTAAAGATTGGGGGTTGGTTATCCACAATTCCATAGATCACCGACAAGATCCAAAGGGGACTCTATATTTGTGTTATCGGACATAAAAAACATCTTGTTGTGTGATGAAGTCATGTGCAATTATCTAAAAATATCTATATTTTGGTGTTGGTTTCATAAGTTCAAAAGAAGTTCTTCGAAGACTTCCACATTTATAATGATTTCGAGATCAGTAGCCCCTCAATTAGATCCGACAGTCAACATTCTCTGGTCATTCCCATGCATTGAACTCCGCCTCTTGCAACAATTAACAAAGCATATATTTTCCTGTCTGCTACTAAAATATGGCTTTAATTGCTATGGAACAATTAAAGAAGCATTTTTTGACATGATTATAGTTATTATGAGAGAGAGAGAGAGAGAGAGCTCTTGAAAGAAAAACATTTATGGAGAAAGATATTTTTGTAATATTACTTCACTTGATTCTTAACAGGTACCTTCTATATACATTAAGAAGCCATGTCGGTGCATGTGAGATATACCAAGTTCACATGATTCACAATCACTGTACAATATACGCTAACAATAGTGAAGCAAGGAATTGGTTTCGCTGCTAAATATCTAGATATGTCTTCAATTATAATAACAATTTAAAGTATCAAGGAAATAAATTTTGCACTAAAATTAGATCGTCCAGATGGAAATCAATAGTTTTTATACAGAAAGTATCATCTGCTCTCTCATCCTATACACACTTATTACCAAGGTAAATAGCAAGAAGTAAAACACACACAAAAAATTGCTTCTGAAGAGAAATTCCAAAAAGAACAGACGCCTTGGCTTTGTTCAACTGAGAATAAATAGTAAGTAAACGTAATAGTGGGAATGCGACATCAAAAGTTACCCTTTAGAAAGATGACGTTATTGATGTTGGGACATGTTCATAAATAACATGCTGATCACAAAGAAATGAACAAAAACAGTAAACCCTCAATGAACAAAAGAACGTTGCTACTTAAAGTGCATACATGCTTGTGATATGTGGGTTACAACGTGGACCCAAATACAGGACATCAGTTTACAGAGTCAACAAAGGGGACAATACACAATTTATTGGTTAAGGCAATTACACACAAAGTTGATATGCATTGTGATACACCTACTCAAAATCAGGGAATAGTAAACAGAATAATCGCAGGATGTGAGCAAAAGCATTAAATAAGAACAGAGATCAAAATAAGCTTACATTAAGCACAACAAATAGGCCAATGCAACATAGGCCAACTGACTAACCTTCATAGTTACAGTTGCGAAGCAATGCAGTGACAATGTGACGTGTACAATCATCATCTTCCACCAACATGACCTTAATGGATCTAACATGCAGAAACCTCTCCCAGTGGACCAGCGACCCTTGAAGTTGTTGCTGAGGAGCAGCATTCTCTTGCACTGTCACCTGGTTGCATCCATCTTGCACATTTTCATCAACTCTCCTAGTTCTCGACTCATCATCTCCATGTGAACCTGGTTCAATACCCACAAATCCATTCACATCTCCCTGATACTCAGCTTTCACGCAACTATTCACTTGTTGAAACCCCTTGCTCCCTCCTCCACTACTGGTCATTGAAATACTCCCTGCTAATCATATTCAAAACATCAATGAAGAAAAAGGTTGGGAAACTATATTGATACTTGTCAAACCTTCTCAATGCAAGAAAATAAGCAGCAACATAGTTGTCACATCAAACTATCCAATCCCTTCAAAGGTCACATACACAACCTTCTACCCTAAAAGAGAAGCAAAAACCCAAAGAAAAAATATCAATCTAACAACACCATGAACATAGCCTATGATCAAATTACTATACCAAAACTAAACCAAACCCTTCTATACCTGCCCGATTGAGTTCCAAGGGCACTGTTTTATCCCTGTCACAAACAAGATAACAGCAGATTAGCCAGCTTTACCAAATACCCCTTCAGTTACAAAAACGGGCGATACACTTTGACTTTTGATGTCAAATAGGCTATTTCCAATACGAATTCAAAGCTCTTTAACAACTGCTACATATTTGAACTCTAGCGCCAAAATCCAACAGAAACCACATTAATTCTTTCACTTGAATACATGTCTTTTTTTGGTAAAGAACTCTCATTCGAAACTACAAAAAGCAAGCACAAATTCACTAAATTTTCGTTAATCGGACACAATTTACTACTTAATTATTTGATAGACGTAGAAATTTGCAAATCGTAAACTATATCGAGCTAAAATTAACAATATGAACAAAAACAACAATTACTCTAATCTACTAATTAGTTTAAGCTAAGAATTACCGAAAACGATTTAGGTAAACGAATCTGATTCGCAGGAACTCGGAAACTAGATCGAGCAAAGTTCCAATAACAAACAGAATTAGCAAGTTTAGGTTAAAGCACAAAAAATTAGGGTTTCGGAACAAAGAAAAAGAACTGGTTAGAGGAAATGAGATTGACTGGTTTAGAAAACAGAGGGACTGATGACTGAAACCTGATAAATCTAAGGACTACGAAAGAAGATTTTATAATGGGATGTCCTACCTGTCAGCTGATGTGGACAAAGTTTAGGTCCATAAGGACACACGTATGATATATTTTGTATACCTGGACAGGGTATCTGGTGACGTGGACTAAATCTAAAAAGGAAGATGGAGCGGTCCTAATCATAATCATACTGGGCGTGGATAGTGGATAGTGGATAGTGGATACACGTAGCCGTTGCTTGCCTTAAAAAAGATCTTCTCTTGATTAGAAGAAACTTTATAATAATCGTGCAAATCAACCCCCTCAACTTTAAATAGTTGTCATATTGCTACCTTTTTTTTGTTGAAACATGACTTCTCAAATATGTACGAAATATCTAAAATAATAAACGTGAGCCGTTCTAGCTCAGTTGGTAGAGCGCGTGGCTTTTAACCACGTGGTCGTGGGTTCGAGTCCCACGGATGGCGTTTGATGTATTTTTTGCTGCAATATGTTCTCGTTTTCCTATTAAAAAGTGTTTTAAATTTTTGCATTTAAACGGATATAAACTTTTTTGTTTCCATCTTTATCATATTAACATATATAATTATATATTATTTAATATATAATAAAAAAAATATGTTTTTTATTATAAATTATATTGTTGTAATCGGCTCGTTACTAGCTTTAAAATAATTTCAATATTATATATTTTTATTTAATCATATTATTAAATATCATAAATACATACGAACTATTTTTGCTCACATCTATACTATCTTATAAAGCATTTGGCTAAAACTCTTAAATCCGTTCATCCATAAACGATTTCATTCATATCCGATTTCATCCCATATCTGAATTCGTGTAACTAATTGCAGATAAACACAATCAAATACAGGATAAACATCTCATTTTAAATATAAAAAATCTAAAATATAATTAGGATAATCATTAAATTCTAACAGAATACTTAATATTTATCTTTATAAAATGTTATATTATTAAACCAAAAATAAATTATTTCATTATTAAACTTAAATTAAATTATAAAAAAAATCTATATTATATTATAAAACATTTGACCAAAACTTTTAAAAACTACTTTTTATACATAAAGTACTGTTTATTAATGCACATTACTTAAAACTCAAGATTACAAGTAGATTGTGCGTAAGTACAACTTATTAAAGCTCTATATCTGAATTCGTGTAACTAATTGCAGATAAACATAATCAAATA